ACTCGCACATTTCCGGCTACAACAGCGGCTACGGCATGGAGTTTCTGAACAACGTCAGCCCCGCCGACGACATGTTCGACTTCAACGCCGCCCCCTCAGCCCACTCCCACTCGCAGGGCTCCGGCAGCCTCGACATGGACATGGACTTTGACTCTCCCCCCGAGTCTCAGTACTTCTTCCCTGGCACCGAGTCGACCATCAACCCGAATGCCATCGGCGGACAGGAGTCTCCCGTCCTGCCCTCGCAGCCTGGCAACGTAGGTCGCCTCTGGCCGGGCATGCACACGCAAGCTGCCGCTCTGGCCAAGGCCCAGGCTCAGCAGCGTGCTCAGCAGCAGATGATTCAGTCGCAGCAGCAGCAAAGGCAGCAGTCGCAGCCCCAACAGACGAGGCCCAGAACCAAGAGCGCTCAGCCGACCGACCCCATTGTCGAGCAGAAGATTACGCAGCTCCTCAACTCCATGCGCAACAAGTCGGCTTCGGAAGACGACGGCAGCATGCCCATGCTCAACATTTCCCGTCCCAAGAAGGATGAGGACGACATGGACGAAGACGAAAGGTTGCTCGCTAGTGAGGAGGGCAAGAAGCTCAGCAGCAAGGAGCGCCGCCAGCTGCGTAACAAGGTCTCTGCCCGCGCTTTCCGCTCCAGGAGAAAGGGTAAGTCACACAGTTTCCCGCACCACAAACCCAAAGTCATGCAGCTAACCTAGTACGCACAGAATACATCACGCAGCTCGAGGCCGAGATTGCCAACAAGGTCACCGAGAACGGCGACCTGCGCCTGCAGAACCACGCTCTCATGGAGGAGAACAAGCGCCTGTCGGATCTTACCCGCATGCTCCTGACCTCGCCGTCCTTCTCTACCTTCCTTGACCATCTCAGCAACAACCCCCAGGCCATCCCGCAGCAGCCTGTGCAGGTGCCCGTCAAGCCTGAGCAGCGTCAGTCGGAGAAGGCGCAGGCCCACAAGGATTCCAACCCCTACGCCGCTCAGCAGTCTCAGCAGCAACAGATTGGCATGGCCATGATCCCGGAGCAGAACATGGATCTCTCCATGCTCAACCTGAACAACGACTCGTTCAACTTCCAGCCCCAAGTCTATGCCGTACTTGAGACCCCAGAGATGCCCGCCACCATTGACGCTGATATTCTCTCTGGCAAGACGTCCAATTTTGTGGGCGAGGCCTTTGAGTCGGACGATGACAAGGTTGAGCTTCCCATGATCGAGTCGCCCAAGATGAATGCCGCCCCGGCCGTGCTTGAGAAGATCCCCGAGCCCGAGCAGACGTATGATGATGATTTCGAGAATGATCCTGAATTTGCTCTCTACCACACGACGCCCTCTTCATCTGCAACTGCCCCTGTCGAGCTCGACACGGATGGCCTGTCACACACTGACCTTTTTGGCGGTATCGAGTCAGAGAAGGTCCTGGCGCGCTATGAGCTGGTGGACGCTACCGAAGAGGAGGAGACGTCTCTGGTCGCGATTGCCAGGGTTCAGCGCATCAGCGCCGGCCTCGAGCCTGTGCTAGCCAGGTTAGAGCGCCTCTGCCTCTAGGCGGTTCCCCGCCATCCTTTCCTTTCCACCACATCATACCTTGAGCCAACCTTCTTTCCTTACACTCTACTCGAACGGCATCACAACAGGGGCGGGACCCGAGGGTCTCCGGGGCGTTTATATGGGTCTTGTTTTTCGAGAGGTCACCAGGGGTCGGGATCCCCACCGCGCTTGATGTGATAGGGGAACCACCGGATATGGGCCGACATGATTGACGATGTGACCGTCTTATTTTTCTTTGCGCACAGGAAAGCGGGTTGCGACTGGCATGTCGCGGTGTATTAGATAGTGGGAACACAACTCGATCCCATACATAAGACTTGTCTAAACGAACCGATGGTCGGTGATGCGTCATTTTGTGAACATGTAGTAGTGTCGAGATGCGTAGATTTGGTCACAGTTGACAGCTATGTGTGACTACATGACGTTCCTGATCACGTGTTTATCATAAGGTGCATGTCTTCCCACTGGGTCTACCCCGACCCTAGTCTATCTACTCTTCATAGATGTTGGTATCACTGCGGCATGGTCAGCTTGGCTCTTTGAAACCAACATCATCAGGCATCGTAAGGGCGGGAGACTCACAATTCGCCGCCAAACTTGTCTCTTCCCTCGGCCTCGCGGTTCACAAAGACGCTGACGGACGTCTGACCGCAGACAAAGACGCCAAAGCCGTCGTCGCCAATGACGACCTCGCGGTCGCTCCAGCCGAGGACGTCGGTCCACACCTCGCCGGCGTGGACCTCGCCGACGTGCATCCTCTTCTCGCCGGCGCCGGCGTTGCTGAGCACGACTGCGCAGCCGGCGGGGCGGTCCCAGGTGCCGTAGCGCACCCAGCCGACGCACGTGGCAAAGTCCCAGTAGTCGGCCTGCTTGCCGTAGGCGTAGAGCTTGCGGGCGAGGGTCAGGCGCGGGACGATGCCGCCGCACGAGGGCGGGAAGGGGTGCTCGCCCTTGATGCCGTAGAGGTCGCCGTACCAGACGCAGGGGTAGCCCTCGCTGCGGAGGAGGATGAAGGCGTGCGCGAGCGGCTTGAACCAGCCCTCGATGGGGGCCTCGAGGGCCTGGTAGGGCTGCGTGTCGTGGTTCATGACCAGCGTCTGTTTGTGGGGGTGGTCAGCACCTTGCCGGGTCTTGGGTTTTCACAGGCTTCCTATCGGGGAGGGGACGGCGCGCTTACCACTGCGTTGACGGGCTCCTTCTGCACGAGCGTGTCGTCGAAGACCTTGCGCAGGTCGGCGCCCTCGGACTTGCTGATCTGGCTAAAGTTGTAGACGAGCGGGGCGTCGAACAGGGAGAACTTTTTGCCCATGCGCGCCAGGTAGTCGGTCATGTCGTCGAGGCTGTCCTTCCAGAACTCGCCCACGAAGAACCACCCCTGGCCAAACTCCTCGTCGAGCGTCGTGATGAACTTGCGCAGGAAGTCTGTGCTGTAGTGTTTGATGGCGTCGAAGCGGATGCCCTTGAGGGGCATCTCCTTTGCCAGCCACTTGCCCCAGTTGATGACGTCCTCGACGACTTCGGGGTGGTCGTAGTCGAGATCGGAGCCCATGAGGAAATCACTGTACACGTGGTGTTCGGTCAGCCGCTGCGTCGGCGCCGCGTGTCGAGGCGTGCTGGGGAAAGGACCTACTAGTTGCCCTTCTCGTCGTCCACGTCCGGCGTGTCGGCCCACCCCTGCGACTTGTCGCCCATGATCTTGTAGATGGCCGTCTTGTCGTTGGCGGCGTTGAAGTCGACGCCGCTGAAGTGGTACCAATGGTACTTCATCTTGCTGTACTTGTCCTTGCGCCCGGGAAAGTCGTAGCCGACCCACGCCTGGATCTCGTACTTGTCCGACACGAACTTGTTGCGGTCGTTGGCGTCGACCTCGGCCGCGAGACACTTCTCCTTGCGGTCGGCAGCGAACTTGTGGTTCAGCACCGCATCCCAGTAGAGGCCGACGCCGTTCTCCTTGGCCGTGCTGGCGAGCTTCAGGAGCTCCTCCTTGGTGCCCCATTTCGTGCCAACGGAACCCTTCTGGTCGAACTCGCCGAGATCGTAGAGGTCGTAGATGTCGTACCCGTTGCCCTCCTTGGAGGATCCCTTGCATCTAGCAGCTGTCAGGTCTTGTGTCTTGCTGTCGGAAACACCATTGGGATGTGAGCTCACCCCGGAGGCACCCAGATGTTGTCGATGCCCCATGCCTTGAGCTGCGGCACATGCTTCTCCAGACGCACCCAATGCTTCTGGTCGGCGGGCACGTACCATTCGAAGCCCTGCATCATGGTCATGTTCTCGGGGGTGAGTTCTTGGTCGCCCATCTTGTCGGTCGGTCGCTACTCGGCGGCTCTTGTCTCGTCACCGGGTATCAAGAAGAGAAGGGCGGGGGAAGGAGGAAGAGGTCGAAGAGCAAACACGCAAGCTACAGGTGTGATGGGGCTCACAGGATGACCCTGCATCTTATATCACAAAAGTCACCGTAGCCCCTCATCAATGGCGTCCGCCAGAACATCCGATCGATCCCCCATGGTCTTATCAGCAGCAGCGGTGAATGTGCCTCCTCCACGCCGAAAACTAAACCCTCACACATTTTTAGAGGTGGGGGTGGAGGGTGGAAGCTACCCTGACAATCAGGTTCTCACGCGGTGCGCACAGTTGGCTCCAGGCCCCGGCCCTGGCTAGCTGAACGCGTGCCTGCACGCGGTCTGCACTTGCAGAGTCTGGACTGGCTAGAAGCACAGCTAGCCTGGGCGACCGGCATGCGTGGATGTGGTCCGTTGGGAAACTGACAGGTCCAGAGGCGCCGTCGCGCTGCAGTGACTGGCTGGCGCGGACTGCAATGTTGCCAGGAAACTTGCGTCAGATGTCGTGACGTCATGGCATGTGGCATCTGGATCGTCCTGGTGGAAATACGATGAGAGAGAAACGTGGTTAGTAGATAGCGGCATGGTTTATACTTGATCGGGGAGGCTGTTGGCAGACGTCGAGGGAAATCACTCATCACGTGATGTTATCGCGATTGTCCGGGGTGTCCAGCTACGAGCTTTCGTTGTCACTGCTTAACAAAAGTTGAGTTGGACGCAGTGGAGACAGGGCAAGCCTAAACAACGACATGCATCGCGTTGGTTCCTGTGACCACATGACCAGCCGTGTATAATTGAGAGTCGAGAATGAAGAGCAGGTTCTTAAGTTAAAAAATTGGTAGCCAACGCTTTCGGAGTAGGCCCGGCCGTTAGCTAGGGAGGACCACCTCCCCCCCCCCCGTTCAACCCCCTCTGGACATCAAGAACCCCAGTTGACACAAGCCATTTGCCGGTCCTTCATGAACCGTAGCTTTCTTTGTCGGCTTGAGGTCGAACTCAAGCTTGGAGAAGCAACTTGCCGAATCATGCTCCCTCCAACGAGGCATGAACCCCCCTTCCCTCCGACTGGTATCGCCAACTTTGCTCGACTGCAGAACTTACGTGATGCTTATGTGGCTCTCGGGATATACGAGCGCAGTATTGATCGGTATCTGCCACAGATCCTTGGGTGTTTCCGCCGTGTGCGGGCGGACCTCAGTGCCAGCCTGGGCGGCATTCCAGCGCTCTAGCCAGAGGCATTCGAGCGTTGACGCGTCCAGAGCACGAAGCTGCGAGCACTTTTGCAGGCCAGTCTCCCATCTCTCTAGAGTCTGCTTCTCTAGAGGGGTCATACTAGCCAGCTGGGTTGCAGATACAGCGGGAAGAGAGTGGAAATGCTTGTTGCCGTCAGGGTAGGCCTCTGCACGACCATCACTGATCTGTTTGGTCTGCTCAGGCGCAAGACAAGCCGCTGCAATAGAAGTGCTTTGGTCGATTGACGTCTCCTGGGGCTGTCCGGGCAACTGCGGAAAACACGGTTCAGCGGGGTTCTCAAGGTTCAGTTGCAACAACTCGTCGGGTTCGCGTTCTGTCTGCATCGGACAGCCTGTCGGGTCGTTGCTATCGACGTTGAGGAACTCCATAAAGTCTGTGTGCGCTGTTTGGGCTTCATGCAGCCAGTCCTGTGCATAATGATCAATCATTTATCCAAGCTGCGAAAACCTGCGGCTACACACCATATTCATGTTATCAAAGTCTGCAGTAGGTGGGCCATCCCCCAGAAGAAGCTTTCCAAAGTCCAACGGTGCAGTGGCATGCAAACCAGCAGCAGGATCCACGGGGGAAGGGAACGAGAAGTCGGCAGGGTCTGAAGAGCTCGAGGAGAACGGCATGGCGACTGGGCAAGTTGTGTCATCTTTTGCAGATCCGGGTGATGGGGTTGGGCCGAACCCAACCTGACCCGAACCGACCTGAAGCCCCGGCGCTTTCCCAGACAATCCCATGAACTTACTGGGCTCAAGGGTAGGTTGATTGGTGTTCGGTGCGTATTGAGGCAGGGGCGCCTTGTAAAGGGTCTTCATGTTCCCCGTCCCGCCCGGCGTGCTGACCAGACGGCGAGGATCAACATGTGTGGGTGCATGACAGTGAGTCGAAGACGCAACTGGAGGTTTCTGTGAGTTGCATTGAGTGGATATAGGCTGGTGGCTGTGCACGGCAACTTTTTCCCAGCCAGCAGGCATCAGGTCTCGGAGTGCTATCGTGTTGAAGCCTGGCTCGGTCTGCGGTGCTTGAGTCTGAGGTTTATCAGCAACAACAAGACAGCCTTGAGCCGAGGCAGTTTGATCAGGCATGGTTGTTGAGGGATAGTTGCCGCGAAAAAGCTGTCCCAGGTCTTGACGTCGCTGCTGCTGTTCGGCCCATTGAGCCTCCTTCTCGCGGGCCAATCGCGCTCTGTCGGAGGCACGACGCTTTGTGCGGCACGTTTGGCAATTCACTCGCTCCTTCAAGCGACCAAAGTTATCTAAAAACTGAAAGTGTTCGATAGGATAGAGGTGCTTGCACTTGTTACAATGCTTGATACGCCCCATGCGGCTAGTATTGCGGTTCCCTTGAAGCTGGGACATGATGTGATCTGTACGGGATGAGAGGGTGTCGAGGTGCGTATTCCCTGGATTTGTTGCCGGGTTCGTCGCCGTTCGCCGAGGTACTATGGTTTTGTTGAGAGTACCAGAATTGATACCGGTGACCTTGCCTACGTTGTCCGCTGTATCGGTGCGAGGAGTGGCCATGTAGACTGGCTGTAAACCCGCGTGTCGATGAGGTACGCTGCTTGAGGTCGACATTGTGATGGGCCTTCTTCAGTTCGACGACTACATAGAAGGTTTCAATATATCTCGTAAGATGCTTCGGTAAAGTGAAGTGGTTTGCCAGGCAGGTAAGCGTGATGGAGTTGACAAGTCGAAACGAAAAGAGCTCAAGGGGTCGGGGTTGCGTGCTTGCCACAATTAGAAAGAGGCAGACGACAGAATATCATGACCTTTTCAGGCTCCTTCTAAAATTCACTCGGGCGGCCAACAATAGTCACAACGATGAAGGCCTGCAGTTGTGCGTGGTTGAATAGAAAGTCAACGACGCCCGAGGAAGGAGCAGGAAGGCATATCGAGTCCTGATGACCACGGCTGCGGTATCAACTCACACCTGTCAATGATATTCGTCGCTGAGTTGCAGAGGAGAAGTTTCCTCGGCTCAAGGAGCCAAAGTTTATGGCCTTGTCTCTCTGAATTCTTCAGCCTCGGGCATTGATGTTATCTCGTGCCTCGGGGATATTATGCCAACGAGCTTTTCGAACTATTTTCGTTGCAACTAAACTCTACGGCTTCACAACGTTTCTCGTAATGAACTCGCACTGCAAGTCTTTGGCATGTATCCAGGCAGGCACCTCTCCGCCCATCCGCTATAATAGGATGCCTGGTTTCCATACCGGCTGGAAATGAATCAGAGATTGGCAGCTCAATTATGCCTCTGTCTGGAAGAGTCGTGTTCGTGGGATCTGCATTATAAACCCATGCCATGGCGGCGCGGCCCGTGTTTACAGTGAGTGTGAGTGCCCGACACATTGTTTTACTACGCGAGGTGATCGACGGCCACACATCAGGCTAGCACGCACTATCGACCAGCACTCCTCGCCTGTTCAGCCAGTGATTTCTCAGTACAATTCCTCTTGAATGGTAATAAGAGGGACCCTGCGAGTGATTGATCTCCCTGGTTCATTCAAACACTTGACGGACGCGGCACATCATACAGGGTGGTAGGCACTCAGCGTATGTGTTTACATCAGGCTAACTCAGAGGACACAGAACGGCCCAGCTCGTTTCTTTTTCAATGACCGACTAATTTCAAGCTCTCATGACCAATGGTTTTCCCTGCAATGCAAATTCACACGCCAGGCTCGTTGATGGCTGGCTGACCCCCGCTGCAAGATGCGTTGGTGTGTGAGACAGCATGATGTGGTGTAGGTCAAAGGTGTGAGACGTCACGCCTCCTTCTTGGACACTCCAATGCCGCGGTGCGATGCTAGGTGAAATATAAGGGGCCCTTCTACCGGTGGCCTTCTCGTCGAAATGCCTTCCTCACTTCAAGATTGACACATCGGCACCATGAGCCAGCCAATCCCCCGCCCTCCTGGAGTGCCTCTTCTGGGTAACTTGTTCAACGTCAATCCGAGCAACACATGGGACTCGCTCAAGAAGCTCTCAGAGGAATACGGCGAAATCTTCCAAATCAAGGTGCTCGGCCACGGCATTGTTTTCGTGGCCAGTGCCGCTCTGGCTGAAGAGCTCTGCGACGAGAAGCGCTTCCGCAAGTATGTTGGCGGGCCCGTCGTCGAGATACGTGCTGCCGTCCATGACGCGCTTTTCACAGCCTACGACCACGAGGAGAGTTGGGGGATTGCCCACCGCATCATTGCGCCAAAGCTTACTCCCCAGTCAATGGCTGATCGTTTTGAAGAGATGCGCGACACGGCCACGGAGCTCATCGACAAGTGGAGAGTCCTGGGAGAGGATAACGAGGTGTCCCTGATCGGCGAGCTCAACCGTCTCAACCTCGAGGCGACATCGCTCACTCTGTACGGCAAAAAGCTCAATTGCCTCGACGGCCCTGAACACCCCATGATCAAAGGAATGGAAGATTCCACCTCGGAAGCCATGAAGCGGCCCACCAGACCCGGCCTCGTCAATTGGTTTCTCAAGGGCAAATTCAAAAAGTCCATCAAGGTCATGCGAACGTATGCCCAGGAAATGGTCGACCATCGCAAAGCGCACCCCTCTCTGGACGGCCGAAACGATCTTCTCTCCGTTCTCATGAATGGCAAGGACCCCCAGACAAGCCAGAGTCTCCGAGAATCGCAGGTCATCGACAACATCGTATCCATGCCGATCGGCAGCAGCACGGCACCTGCCCTCGTTTCGACTGCCATCTACTTTCTCCTCAAGAACCCGCACGTCATCGTCACGGCACGTAAAGAGATTGAGTTCGTGCTGGCCGGTGGTGAACTCACCTACGCGCACCTGTCGCAACTTCACTACATCGAAGGCATCATGAGAGAATCACTGCGTCTATCATTCGCCGCACCAGGTTTCAACATTGAGCCGATCCCCAGGGAGAATGACACCAGTCCTGTGGTCCTAGGCCAAGGCAAATACCAGGTTGCTCACAATCAGCCAATGATCATTGTCCTGGCCGGCGTGAATCGCGACCCGGCAGTCTTCCAAGACCCTCTAGCCTTCGTCCCCGAGAGGATGATGGGTGAGACATTCGACAATCTGCCCGTGAGCGTTAAGAAGTGGTTCGGGAACGGAAAGCGCGAATGTATTGGCAAACACTACGCATGGCAGTGGAACATGGTTGCTCTGACGAAGCTCATCCGCGGGGTCAATTTCGCACTGGTGGACCCGAACTATGAGTTGAAGCAAGATGGGTGGTTCAACCTTAGGCCCGTGGACTTGATGGTCAAGGTCAGGCCGGTATAATGATGGAATCTCAATGTGCTCCTGCTGGGTTTCTTGACTGGATTTTCTCGACTGAATTATTCTACCCCGAGTTACGTCACCTCCTTTCCCTTTGATGAAAGACCGAGGATAGCTGCAACGAGCTGTTTCAAAGGATCAACCTCAACAGTTCACTGACACACTTTGTGTGTTTCAATGAACCATTGCTTTGTTTTCATGCCTTTTCCGCCGCATTATTTCACTATCCTTTGTCCGCGTCGCGAGCAGCCAGCAACCTTGCGCACCTCACACAGTAATCCCTTTGACCGACTCTGATGGAGAAGCAAAGGGCACAGACTGGCACTCTCTTCTTGGGATTGGTGCCTGGCCATTGTATTCCGGAGTCTCTTGCTGATTTATGTGCAGGAAAGAAAGGTGAGCGTCGCGTGTGAATGCTAGTGAATGCCGTCCAGCCATTGACGCGCTGGATTCGAACGATGGAGGTGATGACAATGTGCGGACAATCTGATGATACAGAGCATGCGGGCATAGAGCCGCATATGGGTGCATCGGCGGAGGTAGTGGTAGTGGACATCTTGGTATGGTAACCTGTGGTGGACAACTTGGTTACAGCTTTGTTGGAGGACAGAGGGCTCGTTCAGGCGACTTTTATCAGGCCCTGACTGTGAAAGGCGGAGGATGCCAACACTTATTCAATGTTGACAGCTGCATTTATCAATTGGATATTACATTCACTCTGTGTGACGCAGACCAAATTCCTTTGAAAGTTGGAGCAGCCTGCAAGTTACAGTGTGGATGTAAGTGCCCTCGTCTCGATGGTCGCTCGACCTTTCAAGGGGGGACGCAGTCTGACACCCCTCTAGCCCCGAGAACGATCTTGGGTCTTTCGAAGCCAAGGAGCCGGCTCAACCGTCTACTCAAAGATTCTTATCTGATATACCTACCATGTAATTCGATCAAGCGATATCATACAACTGGTCTGGAAGTTGAATTCTGCCACCATATCTGGAGCGCCCAGTACGCACCGTTGTACCTGAGGTCGTCCTCGGACCCAAAGGGATAACCAAATGAACATATTGCCAGAACTTGATTAGTATCCTTGGTTATCTCAACTATGGTGTGTATAGGAGAGACGCTGACATATGTTGAGATCACCGGCCTCACATCGGCATATTCATGTAGCTATAGTGAGCCCCCCGGCTTTGTGCCATCTTCTCTGGCTGTTGTCATGGAGCCATATCCCTCTTGAGCGTGTATACTAAAAAAAACCATGCATAAGTCTGAGTTGTTCACGCGTGATGCACTTTCATTTAGGGATGAAGTATGTAATGTGGCCCGATCTAGTCCATGATTGATGCAAAATAGATTCGCAACCAATGTCG